TATATTTCTACTTTTTTGCTTCCAAGTTAAATAAGCAATTGAATTTAGTAATACTGTATTTTGCAAAAATAAAGTCGTATCATGGGATTGTTTGTAAAAATTTTGCCGATCTTTTTTATATAATGAATCACATTGTACAGTGAAGTTTTTGTCAAAATCAACTCTTTCTTATATCGAGCGCCGACTGTATTGTTCTAGCACTATACGTATAGTACTATACGTGTAGTACTGATCTGCACATCTCTACTTTTCATTCTCTTGCATTCAGCCCATGATGTGAATGTGGCTTCATTACACCTACTGAAACAAGGAATTACAATTAAAGTGGGACATTTTGTCATTTTAAATTTTTACAATTAAAAAATCGATCAGGATTCTAGCACGTTTACCACGAGTTGCGAATTAAGAGTGATCTAACCTATTTTAGCCGGTTTCAAGCTCTACAAAAAATTTGTTAAAGGCCTTCAATTCATTATAATCCGCTTGTAAATTGTTTTGCTCGAGAAAATTAAGTGCAGTTTTAAAAGTTTCATTAAGAGAGTTATTAGATTTGTAGTAATAAATTTTTTTATTTTCATTTTGAAATATTTTATGCGTCATAATTAATATTTTGCTCTTTATTTCATGTGAATTAGTTGTAACGTGATCAATTCTACTAAAAATTCTACTTAACGTTCATTCATTGGAAACAAGATTCGTTGAAACAATGGTTTGACCGTATTAGTATAAAGAGGTTTATATAAAACTTATGCTGAATCAAAATTAGCATTAGTATAGGCAAAATTCTGGTAATTTTGACCCGGATAATATAATTATTTCTTGCAGTAAGTCCATTCCTACTTAATACGTTGCCATGCTGAAACTAGAGATGTGCCATTCATAGTAGCCCTGATTTTTTTTCACGCACTATGCGCATAGTGCGCATAGTGCACATAATGCATATAGTGCATATAATGCATATAGTGTATTAGTATTATCCCTTAAACGGTTTTTTGGCTATTGATGGCCGAAATTTTTTTTCTGTTATAAAAAACTTTTTCTGAAGGTATCACTTCCTAATACGAAAATGATCTTTGAGATTCAGCTGTTTGATATGTGAATAAAAATTCGGTTGTTGTCCTTGTGGTTTTCGTAAAATTTTCCTTAAAAGTTTGTCGATTGACTATTTTTACTTTGCAGGTCGTTAAATTGGCCAATAAGTGATCAAAAAATCATTTCGCGTTATCATTTAAGAGATAATAATAGTAATGGTACACAGAGAATTGTCATGAATGCGCAATAATGTTGGCCTTTAAAAAAATCAAATAGCATATTTATATATATATTCTTTAACTAGAAATATTTATTAATTAATGTCTACAAAAATACTTATATTTATTAATAATTGACATTAAAAATAATATCATAATTTCAAGAATGTTATACTTATTGAATTAAAAATATAACTATATGTATATTAAGAAAAAAACCTCAATATTTAAGTAAGGAAAAAGTCTTAACAACTAAAACAATATATATTTACACTATTTTATAATTGACCATTATGTATTAATATGGAGAAACTTGTACATGCATGCTATGTAATACAACATGAGAACTATGCGCGCACACACTGTGCGTGGCGCATCTCTAGCTGAAACCTTTGAAATGGCATATTTTTAAAGAAGGAGCTTTGTATGCTTATTTTGCAAATCAAATTAATGACACCTGGAAATGTAGCCCAAAATGACCATAGGGATAAATTACTTTGATAACCAACTTTCTGGATGATAAATTCAAACCAACTAGAGGATGCGTGGGGGCTTGTTTTTATCGATGTGATCAACCAGCTATTCCAATAGAAGTTGTCTCCTTCAGGACAACGATAGTAATAATAATTATAATAGCAATAAGCCCGATCATAGATTTACAAACAACAGCATTAATAGTTACGGTAGTCACAATAATAATATAACAGCCATGTGCAAAATGTCTCAAAAACTATAATAATAGTACAATATTCAAAGACACGTATATATTTTTTTTATCATTTTGTGAATAAGATTGTTTACAATTTTATTATAATTTTGGCTAAAAACATTTTTTTAAGTTTTCTAAAAAGAACGTACAATGCTTATATTACCAAATGATAATGGCAAGTCACAACACTAATAATAGTAAAATGTCCAATCCAAGACCGCCGAACCATAACAAGGTTGGGCGACGAAAATATTTTAGAGTTAAAAAATATTTCGTCAAACGGGGCACATGGTGACGAAATGTGACAAAAGTGATGAGGGCAAAAGTCAAAATCGATTGAATATTTTCTTTGGTCAGTTAGAACAGTGCCTTCATAAAAGTTTGACAAAAGAGCTTGAGAATTTCATTGTTTTGTTGATTGTTAATTTCATCCAAATAAAAACGAAAAATAGAATAATGACATCCAGGACATTCATTAGCTAAATGTACCTTGGGTTTAAAATGCGTTCCAGATTTTTGGAGAATTTTTTGCGAGATGCTGAGTAATGTCCTTTTACTTTTTTCATACACCAGATACAGGACGTCCTGGAGCTAATTCTTGATTATTGTTAAATGAACTTTCAGATATATTATCTAAATTTAATATTTGTAAATTCGCGTTATATGAGAAGTAATTGGTGAATTAGAATTTGACATCATGAATTTTATTTTTTTAATTTGCTCCTTGAACAAAAATGTAAATAATTTAAAATAATTGATTTCGTCATTTTCATCATTTTCGTCAAATTCCTCAAATTCCTCAAAATGTAAAATTCCTATTTTGTCCCATTTATTTTAGTCGTGCGACAAAAAAAAAGAGAGATTTCGTCATCCAAACTCGAACCATAATGATAATAGTAGTAATAATAACAACAATAATATCATCAGAGAAACTCATTCAACGCTAGCAGATATGGCATCCAATATAACCATTTGCCTAATGAACTAAGCGGAAAAAAGAATAAGAATTAAGGTTTCATCAGCTGAATTCTATTCCAAAGACAAGATTGGAACTGATCAACAGACTGAATCAACATCAAACATGCCACCAATCAATTCCATTCCGAGTTAATAACCTTGATAGAAGAAAAAAAGATATCGAAATAAAAACAGATAAAAAAAACCATTAATATCTGCATTAACATCACCATACTTTATTGTTACTGATTTACCAAAACTAAATGCAGACGTTACCTTCGAGCAACTATAACATGCTGTGTATCCGGGCTAAGCTTGAACTTTCTCATCACCTTAATGCTGAAATGATTCGGGTTACTGCCATGTATTTTAATACAACTATCAAAAGGAAAATAATACCAATTACACTAGACAGTCATAAGAATTGAGAATTAAGTTTGGAAAACCGCTCGCAGTGATAAATCTCAATGTAGACAGGAGGAGATAACAATCAATGTCAATAAATATCCATATGAAAATGGAACAATTATTGGAAAGGTTTATGAATTACAAATCTGTATTTCAGAAAAAAGGAAGATGCCTGGTAATAAAGGAGAAGAAGGGACCAGTTCGTTGTAATATGAACCGTGAAGAAGACAAATTAATGGAAGCACTCTTAAATCTTCAAAATAGAGATAGGTGATGTGGGAGTCAATTGGTCAGAATTAGAATCCTACGTAACAATAATAAGTGTCAATGGATAAAAATAAAGAAACGAGACCAAGTAAAATAATTGCACGAAATATCACAAGGATACACCATAGAGAAAAATATGAAGCCACTGTATTTATTTTTCAAATCGATAGACTATTCATTCAAAAGCAAGCGTCACAATTGAACCTAAGTCTGATAGAAAGATCAATCGTTTGATAGACTAACTCTCATAACCTTGTGTTTCGATTATAAATTAATCATAATTATTAAATAAAACCAAAAAAAAATCTTTTTTTGCCAAAATCTAAGCTACATATTAATATGGTATAAATTGGAACGTGCATTCCGATTCTTTTGTTTATATAAATTATTTATTTTTGTATTAATAAATAAAATAAACTTATTGTGATTACAAAATTATAAACGTTCAGTTCGTTTGTCAAACTGATGGTTTATAAACTGAATCACACCGTTTCCATCCCTAATTGTGGTCAATATCTTTAGTTCAAGTTCTACAGTCCAATCTCGTTCAACGAATTTATGGGACAGACACATAAGAAAATTGCATTTAATATTCGTTATACCAAAATTTTATGTGAATCAAAAATTTAGTTGAAAGAGGTCTATATATTTAATATTAATATTCCTTGATTGTTGAGAATGTCATGTGAGACAGTAATAATCTAGATTTGAAGAATGAAGCGTAATTCTAGTGATTTAGCTTTTTATGTTTTTAAATAGTTTGTAATTAATGTTTTTGAAAACTTCTGCGGCAATTCCAACTTTACTTTTTTCCTTTGACATAGCATCCTCCCTCCATATAAACAACTTCATTTTCACCCACCATGCATGGTCTTATCAATAAAGTATCTAATTTGACACGTTTTGCAGCAGGAATGAATTGGTGTCTTTCAACTCTTTATTGTTCCATCTTCTTGCAGCCAATGCATGCACCAGTCATCCCTAAGATCTGATATGCTAGAAAATGACAATTGTATAATTTTCTGATGATTGGTGTAGCCATTTTCAGATAATCATCCTTATGGGCTATTCTGATATATATTAGGCTCCCATTCAAAAGCTGGCGAGGAAATAGTACCATTAATGTGGATAACATTTTAAATTCATGAAACTGATGCTAATACCTAAACTCTAAACTTTTTGCTAAATTGGATGATCTGATAAGATGATAAGAATTACAATTTTGGTAAGAACTATATTTTTAGTATGTTTGGCCAATCATTAATAACAACCTTTTGATTTTAAAAACAAAACAAAATCTATTTCCTTTATTTAATATTAAAAATTAAGCAAATCGGAATTCGCATCCGAATACAATTATTCGATTTTGATTTTTTTGAATTCATCTAATAATTCCTTAAAATTACTATTCACGTTTTTTTTTTCGATTTATTCAAATTTCTTTTTGATTTGATTCGCACACCACCATTTAACAATTTCTTCATACTTTTTTCAATTTCTTCAATTTTCTCTTTGACTTGATCCTGATTCAACAATTCAAACCTATTATTGATATTTTCTTCGACTTTTTCAATTTTATCTATGACTTGGTCCTAATCGCATTTTTCAGGAGCTTCAACAAGGTCTCTGACTTTCTCAGAAATAAACGTTTCGTGTTCTGAATCATCAATTTCTTTAATTTTTTTCTGAATATCTTCAATTGGAACTGAATAACATCTAATAAAACAAAAAAAAAAATTAAATTAATTTTTCAAGCAAATTCAAAGATAAATTATAATTGTATATAAACTTGTACTATATTTACAAAATATCTGGGAACCAATCTCTCCATCGACGTTGATTGGGTAATAAATAAAATAATTCCATCTCTCTGATAACTTTTGCTCTCTCAGCCAAGAATGCTTCTTCTGTGTTATTTTTTTCAATTTCATTACTAAGCAAACCAATAAATAAGTTCATCAAATATACAACTACTATGAATGAAAATGTCACTACTAATATGGCTAGATAATAATTTTCTACAGGTGACCAAGCTCCAAGTGCACTACTGTCACCTATAATAATAATACATATTTTTTATTAAGAAAAAATTATATATTATTATTATCATTAAAAAAAACTTGTTTATTTACCTGTAAGGAAATTATACATTGCCAGCATTGAAGTAGGAAAATTGGCAAACATGTTGACTGTATCATCAGGCTTTTTCACAAAATATGAAGTGGGATCATATATATTATTTGTAAATATGGCATAACTATCAACAAGATTCCAAGGATTGTTGGGATCATCATTGATAGCAGGTGCATCTAAACCATATTCTCCAGTTGGCCTTAATGCTATGTGTAATGCATGTGAAAAACTCAAAATAATTAAAAACAATATCAACAAAAATGAAAAGACACTTTGTGCCACTCCAAGAATTATTGCATAATAAACACCAAAATATCTAAAAGCTCTAAATAATAACATGAATCTCAAATCTAATAATAAATTAGCCAATGAAATCATCCATATTTCTGGTGGTGTGTCATAATACAACCAAAGGGCTGATGCAGTAATTGGTAACAAAAAAGCACCAAGATCTAATATCAATAGTAATAATTAATATTAAATATTAAATTATGTTTTAACAAATCATAAAAAAAAATACTTCATACCAAAAATATTCCAAAGATCTTTCACATAACTCATCCCTCCCCAAATAAATTGTCTGATTTCAACAATCATAAAAAATGAACCAAGTGCAATACAGGCCATCAATGATTTTTCCTTTTCAATGTCAGTAAAGTCACCTGGATTACTAGTGGTAGGAATAGCAAAACTTAATAAAAATAATGTATAAATTATTGATACTCCTATGTGATATTTTCTTCCAAAATGGCTCCACTTGTAATCCAAGATAAATTTTCCATTCCAATGTTTGTAAATTTCTAAGTTCTCCAATTTAACAAAAATGTTTGATTCTGGTATAATCATTTCCCATACAGGATTATAATTACTACTGTAATTCATAAATCCTGGGAAGGGAATTAAGAGCATCACACAAGCTTTTTCACTTTCAAGTTCACTAATGTTAAATACCTGCTTTAAAAATAATGAAATTTTTTGATGTAAATAATCTCTAACAAATCTAAAAAAATATCTATAAAAATAGAAATGCCAAATTTTACTAGACTGGAAAATGAATATTTCATGGGGTTTTGCTTGATTAAATAAACCAGAGAAAGCAATCTTATCATCAAATTGAAGTAACATTGCTGAATTTCGAACAAAAAATTTTGAAATTAATCTTTGATAACCTCCACCTAATTGTGGCAATTTAGCAATAATGATTTTTAATAGACTGATATTTGATTCAACATCATCTATAAACCATTCAAGACATGATTCAACCATTCCTTCTACAAAATGTTCATTTCCTCCATTTAACGCTCCATCTAAACTCATGTCTCCATATTTGGTGAGATAATAGAAATCTTTTGTCAAGTATTGAATCATCTCTCTATAAGGGTGGTGTTTAAAAACTTGAATTTGACTTTGATTTTGGATTTGATCTTTGCTGGTGTAATTTTTTTTAATTTTTTTAAAAAAATGGTCAACATCAAATATATAACCTTCATAATCTTTTTCAATAGACTTGATGCTTTTTTTTAAACCTTCTATACTCAATTTATGACTTCTAATATATCTAACATATATTAAATTTTTTTTTTCATCAACAGCAAAAATTTGTATATAATTTGTTGTTATTAAGGTCAATCTATCATCAAATAACTTGCATTGAATGAATTCTTCTTCATATGATAATTCATAGTCACTACTACTGTTGCTGTTTTTGTTTAGAGCCCTTATATTTATATGTTGATGTTCTTTGTTATGAGTGATGGTCCATTTATAATCTTTTCCAATTTTAATGATAGGGTTTTCATATAGTCCTTTATTTTTTTCATTGTTGATGAGGAGTTCTTTAATTGGTTTATCAATTGTTTTGTCATCAGAAGATTCCAATTCATCAAGTATGTTTTTATATATTTTATGCAATTGTTGACCCATATAATAAATTTCATAATTTTTCAATCTA